TATTTATTTATGGTTATTCTGAACGTTGGTATGCGATAACTATAGACAGCGATGGTGGGGCGTGTGAGAGGCTTGCTGTTTTTTTGCCCACACTTAGATCACACGCAAATTAGATGCTATGCCCGTTTTGTGCGGAGACCAACCCCACTCACCCTTCCCCGCAGCTCCATTTTGCCTCCGCTGCACGTGCTCCACGCGACGCGTGCTTTTCCACATATCCCTCGTCCACCTACTTGTCCTCTTTATTGCTGTTGCTACCGCTCTTTTTGTTGTTTCTTTTTAGTGTAAGGGGTAGGGAAGGGGATGTTGCGCAGCTGCCACAGCCTGCACGGCTGCTACAAGCTGCCGGGACGCAAGTCACTGGACGAGGTCTGCAAGCTGAGTCTCCTCGAGGCGACGCCGACGGCACAGGTGGCCAACATCTGGAACGAGCACCACAAACAGTTCGTCCAGTACTGGGGCCGCACGATATCGGCAGAGGCCTACGAGGCCCTGCAGCCGCGCCTGCAGAAATGCCCGTATTTCGTCATCCCTGTATTCCGCTCCAAGGGACTCTTCAACGTCGTGACAAACTGGGACAAGGACCTTGTGGGCGTTGCACCGCTGGGAGAGTGGCAGAAGAAACAGGACCACGCGCAGATCGACATGACTGTTCAATTCTTCACAGAGTTGGTGCGTACGAAGCGCATCGTCCTTGTGCGGTGTGAGATCAAGGACAAGATTTTCGTGCGCCAGGACTGTGTGTTCATCACGCAGATGCTGCTCAAGTATTACACCATTCCGCGACTATATGAGACGTGGGTGGAGGTCTTCAACAAGCGCCCGCACCAGTTTGACTACCACATGTACCTGCGGAACATGAAGGAGGAGGCACAGCGCGACGACATTCGAATCGAGGACAAAAAGACTCAGATGCGACTGGACGCATACGGACCGGTGATCGACACACCACCGGACGCGATTGCGAAGCAGATCCTGAGCAGTGTCGACACAGGTGTATTGCAAGGGGGCGGAAAGACGACGCCATAGTTTTTGTTATTGCTGTTGCTCCTATTGTTGTTGTTGTTGTGGATGACGGTTGAGTTGCCTTGTGGTGTCCCCTACTCCTTTGGTGGATATATATATATATGTATATGTATATATGCGTTTTGGTGTTCTTCTGCAGACTACGTTTTCGAAGTCTTCAGCCCTTTTCTCCCCTTTTTTCCCTTGCCATTATCTCCCTGTCTGAGTGTGTGTGTGTGTGTGTGTGTCTGCAGTGCACACTCCCACCCACACCCACACCCACACCCATACATTCTATCGATCTCTGTGGCGACCATGACGGCGCCGTTCAACGACTATAGCGGCAGGCCGCTGCGCGCCGTGACGGTCTTCTGCTCCTCCACGACGCGGCGCGGCACGGCGGAGTGGGAGGCGGCGCAGCGCTTTGGC